TACCTTCCGTTTCCATTCCATATACTATACGTTAGCTTCCGTTCTGTATCAATTCCATACTTTTTATTGTTCAATTTATATCATTACGAAAGTTTAATTTTAAAAATGTGTATCTTTTGAAAAAGGTGATAGATTTAATTAAGAGGTGAAAGAATAAATAAATATCAGCAAAATGTTAAGAGAGCTGGTACAAATGTAAGAACTTGACAACGCTGTTTCCGACACGCTTCAGTCTGCCCGCCAAAAAAATGTATGGAAGGAAAGGATATGGAACGGAAGGGAAACGGAACGGATAGTGTGCATTGTCCTATTCATTTACATGATATAATACTTTATGTAAACGGAAGGGAAATGGAAGGGAGCTGATATGGAAGGTATAGTGAGAATTAACCTTAACACATTTCTTATTTAAAATTTCTACTACTCCAATCATTTATACTAAATATGCGAGCACTGGAGTATATAAAATATCTTCAAATGTTATGTTAACCAAACCGTTTATTAAGTACAAGGGATTGGAGTAAAAATAAGAGAAGAAACATTATTATGAAACTTCTGGATCACTGGATTACCTTATTAAAAACAAATAAATCACTAGATACAGGATGGTCGATTAGTACGAGGAAGTCCAATATCGTTGTTGTTAACAAATATATGAAAAAAAGTTGAATCTTGCTTGGTTTATTCCTAAAAATATTTTGATCAATACATAGTCTCTCAAAAAAAGTTATGATGAAGTTCTAATTTTTTTTAATTGCACCCTCAATTTTTCTGTACATAATTGGATTCAGCATATAATTCTGCATATAGTATACTATTTTTATTTGAAGCACTATGCAGTGTTGCTATTCTATTTCTTATTTACTAAAATTTTCATCAAAAATACTATATCCGAAAAGTGGTTAAAAATTGGAGTGAATATACCTAGCTTTACTGATTTTCCTAAACAACAAAGATACCAGAAAAAAATCCATTAAGAAAAATTTGGATTGTCCTATACAAGGTATGTTTTATGGCGTCGCCAATATCGCAATATTTAAATTACTATATATCTATTTTTCTAAATGCAAAACCCTGTATATTATTTTTCTCTTAGATGCAGAAATAAAAAATTATCATTTTTGGTACTTAAAAGTATTCATACATTTTTAATTAACAGACAAAGATCATTAAATTGCTTTGATAAACATTTACTGTTGAAAGAGCCATACCCTAATATGTAAATTTATAATACTTATAAATAAAAAAAATGTTTATTTTTTAATCCTCCATCTGAAAGAAAGAAAATATACAGAGTGTTGTATTTAAAAATGGAGATATAGTAATTTAAATATTGCAATGTTGGCGACGTAATAAAAATTACCCTGTATAAGATAATGTAAATTTTCCTTCGCTGGTTTATTCTGTTATACTTGATGTTTAAGAAAATATAGCTCAGTATTAATAAAGTTGAATTCACTCTAGTTTTTAGCCAATTTTCCGATATAGTGTTTTTAACCAAAGTCTCAGTAAATATGCAATAGAATGGCACCACCGCATAGCGCTGGGACAAAAAATAGCGTACTATATGTAGAATTTTATGTTGAATCCAAATCTGTACAGAAAAATTCGGGGTACAATTTAAAAAAACTTAAAACTTTATCATAACTTTTTTTGGGACGACCTGTATACAACAAAATATTTTTATATATACACCAAGCGACACTTGTATAAAAATTTTTGTATAAGACTTCCTCGCACTTAATCTTGATCCATTCGAGATCATGGTTTGAATTTTAAATACTATACTACTATACAGGGTGTCCCAGGCTGAGCGTGCATTAGAAGTTTCTGGAGAACTACAACATCTAGCTTGGAGATTTTTTGCACATCATAGTTTCACAACGGGCACTTCCGGATATACCGGAAGTTGACAGCAACATTCTTATTTTAAATGGGTACCCCCATTTTTCATTACATACTTAAATTCTCGGTAAAATTTCATGAATTTTGATATTAAACACTCTATATCTAACATTGACTGTTTTTGAGGAAAAAAATATTTAAAATTTTTGAACGAAAAAAACTGCCTGTCAAAAATATGTGTATAGTCTAAACGTCAAATATAGTGATTGCCACTGTGCCATAAAGAGAAAATATGTCGCTATCTACTTCAAAAATTAAATTGTTCGAATGTCATATAATAATGACCGCAGCTGTCATAGAATTGAGCGATTTAAAAATTATCATAAGTCATTTTTTTCAAATGGAAACCCACTTTTTTATTTCACTAGTGAAAAGGCTTTTCAATTCGTTACTTTTTGACTATACATGTTCCTATACCTAAAATAAATTGTTTTTAAGTTATTTAAGATTTAGTTTTAAAGCGTATATTTTCCTTGATTTTAACCAGTAGCCTATGACTTTAAACGTCAAGTGATGTAAAACAATAGATCTGGCCTTTCATATTGTGACGTTTTGTTCAAAAAGCAGCATCATTTCCGAGCCAACTTTGCGCTATTTTTTTTTTATCGTACGGAATATTATTAATAATATCAACTATTAGATATCACTAAAAACAAAGCTAGAGGGAAAATACGAGATATGTTTTTATAAATACACTTTTTAAACTCTTAAGGGGACAAGCAGTATTTACGTAATATAGGAAATTAAAATAATTCGTTTTCTGACAGATGGAAATAAATTTTCTGACCGTTTGACACTTAATGTTAAAGGAAGCTAGATAAAATCAAGAAAAATATACGTTTACAAATTAAATCTTAAATAACTTAAAAACGATTTATTTTAGGTATAGGAACATGTATAGCTAGAAAGTAACGAATTGAAAAACCTTTTTATTAGTGAAATAAAAAAGTGGGTTTCCATTCGAAAAAATGATTTATGATAACTTTTTAATCGCTCAATTCCATGACAGCTACCGCCATTATTATATGACATTGAACAATTTAATTTTTAAAATAGATAACCACATGTCTTCTTTCTATGTCATAGTGGCTGTGGTAATCAGTAAGTTTGACTTTTAGGCTATACAATTTTTTTTGACAGGTAATTTTTTTCATCCAAAAATTTTAAATATTTTTTTTCTCAAAAACGGTTTTAATGGTAGGTATAGAGTGTTAACATCAGTATTCATAGAATATTACAGAGAATTTAAGTATGTAATAAAAAGTGGGGGCACCCATTTAATATAAGAAAGTTGCTGTCATACTGAAAATATTTTTAATCGATAGATCTCGTTGTAAAACAATGATGTGCAAAAAAATCTCTGATCTAGATATTGTGGTTCTCTAGAAACTTCTAATGCACGCTCAGCCTGGGACACCCTGTATTTCAAAATTTAAAACAATAATGTCCACTATACAACTTAGCACTATAAATGTGTGATAGTTGAGAACAATAACCTTTCACATAAAATAATTTTTATATTAATATTTTACGCTCACGATATATATGACTGAATATATTATCTGATATGATTTTAGCTCCCTATTGAATTTTTAAGAAAGTAATACTTATTTTCATTCTGTATATAACATTTTTTTTCATTCTTAATATCTATTAATTTATTTCAACATTCCACATTAAAGAATGTTTATGACATTCACAGATTTTAGAGTAAATTTTACTAAGAAATAGTTTTCTTAAGACTGATGACACAAGTTGACAATACAACACTTTTAGCCTACTCTAAAGTCAAAGCCAGTACTTTAATATGCACACTACACCTGTTGAAGTCTACTACATAGTGATTGGTTATTGAATACAATTTTTTGTAATTTGTTTTTTTTACTTTATAGCTTTAATTTATTTTGGTTGAAATTATATACCTACTACAATGTAAGTTTTACAATAAAAAACAAATCTACATTTATTGTTAAAGTTCTCTAGTGGATAATATTACAATTTATTTAGTTTTTAGAATGTCGATTTCTAGGAAATAAACTACTTCTTGACTGTACAGAATAGTCTGCCGTCAACAATAATTTATACTTATATAACAAAAATGTTACCTATTCTCGGAAATTTCAAGTTCTTGAACTTTGTATCGATATATTCTTGAATTAAATTTTCTTGCGACATTAGGTCCAAGTTGACCAGCAATACAGTTATATCAGTATTATACTAAGGGCTGGCAAAGGTTAGTCTTGGGTCGAGATTTCCGTATGTAAGAAGAGTACAATACGTTTTATAATATACCGAACAAAGAGAAAACAGTAAACACGTTGCCAAAGGCATGAAATAAACCGAGAAACTGTGCACATATTGCTAAGAGACGTAGAAAGGGATATAGATTCGTCGCAGTCGAGCGGCCGACCCAATCGGTACCTCTGTCAGTACTTAAAGTTCTAGGGAAAGGTGTACATTATGCGTTCAGCTTCACGATTTAATTACGTCTCATGAACTTTGTTTGTTTATTTATTAACGAGTTGTTGTAATTTTCCCTATATCTTGAACATTATTAAGTGCAAGTTAGAAACACTCGCATTTTTGGTAATAATAAGTGGAATTGAGTTGGTGTTCGACAGTGGTCGCGCTATTAGAACTCAAAAATCGATATCTCGAAATCTATTAGAAATAAATTGATTGTAGTTTTTTCAAAAACTTTCTTAATATTTCTGCTATATTTTCTTCGCAGACAATATCTGAAAATCTTTATAAATAAAAATGTTACACGATTGCTGAAAATTGCTATGCACTAAAAGTAAATGGATGGGTTGTTTAAAATTTTTGAAGGGAAAAAACAACTTTATCGAATTTTTCTTATTTAAACATATTGTAAAAGATCCGATCTTCAAAATAAAAAAAAATGTCTCAATATCTAAAGTGGTTTTTAAGTTATGGCGTGTTATGTGTTAAAAAAGTTAAGTTTTTAAATTATCGCGATTAGTGATCGTCATAAAAAAATGGACACCTTAACGACATCCTTATAATTTGATTTCAGATGCGCAGAAACATATCTAATGATTTTATCTAGTTATCTTTTCGAAAAAAAGTTTAAAAATAAGCCGTTTGCGATCGTGATTTTACTTTACTTGATAGGGAAAGGCGTACCGGCAACGCCGCCACAGCACATCGTCGCATTTCTCCCACTCCGACTTAATAAAATACCGACCCAAAAGTAACAGTTGCCAGCACGGTATATCACAAAAGAATTGACAAAAATTAATATCCAAGAACATACAATCTAACAGCACAATGAACATTATGTGACATGGTCGAAAGAAAAACAAAGTAGTCAAAATATATTTTTTAAAATAAAATTAAATAATGATTAATTTGATAGAGACCATCTCTATGTAGGTATCCTGTATTTTTGTATAATGCAAAAAATATAAGCTATAGTAATTATACCTGACGGCAACTAATATTTTTAAGATAATTACTTAGGTTTAGTTTAAGTACAAATCTTTCTTGACTTGATATTTGAGTAAGTAATAAAGTAATAAATAAGAACGGCCTAAAGGAGCAGAGAATATTAACAACTAAATAAATTACATAATATCCATTAGTATTACGTAACTATCATCATTGAAAAAAATATATTGCAGGACTAGAAAATTATCGACCACATATTTGGTTCAGATTCATACTATATACCTAATATAGTTTGGCAATTTATATATTTGGAAAATATTAACGTCTAACGTCTAACAAATTTTAACATAGTAAGTTTAGATGTTGTTTCAAAATTAGATTAGTGTTAGTTAATATATTGTTAAAAAAATACTGACTTTAAGTTTAGACACAAAACAATTCTAATACGTAGAAGAAGAATGTTCAGATATATAGAAATGTATGCTATTTTAGATAAAATATTAAATTACCACATTTAAACATCTTTTTACTCTGGCTTGAGCCTATGCCATTGGACAATAGTTTGTCTTGGTTTTGTAATCATGTCCTGCCAGTGTTTAGTCTCGGATGCTCCGGAACCATTCTTACCTAAAAATGATTAATTATTCATAAAAAAATATTGAAATTAAATCTTTATTATAGTTAAATAGATTAGGCGTCATGGATCATTTATTTATTTTTATATTTATACAGGATCCGGCAATAGTGCGTCGGGCATCTGTAGCTCCTAGAATAAAAAACTTGGGAATTTTGTTTAAGTGTAAATTTAACGTATGTTCTAGGATGTATTCCAGGAAAATATTATATAATATGATTTTTTTTAAATGGAACATCCTGTATATTATTGCATTTTTAGATTCCTTTCAGATCACTTTACATAATCTTAAGATATGAGTAAATATATTTGGATAGTTTCAGGGATATTAATAAATAAATATATATATGTACAGGGTGGGTCAAATTCGACGCTTTTAAATGGAAACACCCTTTTCTACAGGAGATAGACGAAAACTAATATCGGTGTCTGGAGCTCAATTTTCATCAAAAACATAATGGAGAAAACCGCACATCAATATCTGTTACCGTATCGGAGTTACGGGGTGTTTTTCAAAAATGTGCATTTTTAACAAATCGCTGTAACTTTTTTACTATGGAAAATTTTGTATTTCTATGAAAACATTTTCAAAGCACCTTTTTACGTAGAATTTAATGGTTTAAGTAAAAATTTTTTAAAATTAATAATTTAAGAGTTATCAACAGAAAAAATGATTTTTTATTTGGGACACCCTATATATTTTTAATTAACTGAAGAGAATTTAAAATTACCTTTTCAAAAATATAGCACACTTGATATTTTGTTATAATCCCCTTCGAAATACAGAATTTTTAAAAGCTCGCCACTTTTAACTAGTAGGCTTTGGACCCCTTATTGATGACATGCCTTTAATGGAACTCGAAAACATATTTTTCCAGCAAGACGACGCATCGCCTCTGAACGCTGAACTTATCAGCAAATTTTTGCAGCCAATTTCAAGAATAATTGGATAGCTAACCAAGATCTCAGCCGTTGGCCGTCGAGGCCGCCTGACTTAGTACCCATGGATCTAATCCTATGAATATATTTGCGGAAGAATAAAGGTTCCTTATTCTTCCGTATAATCTAGACAAGAATTAAAAATACTTAGCAGTTATGAGAAGGTATCTTTCACCCCCACTGAGTTAATGAATACCGCGAGAAATGTTCAAAAACTGCCCCGTCTGCCCATAACAGAAGACGGTCGATATGTCAAACACCTGTAACAAAATCTCATGTCTTGGTTTGCTACTTATTTTTATTGTTATTAGATATAGTTTAAATGTGTTGATGTTGGTTAAATATATTTTAAATTGTCATAAAATTCTGCATCTCTCATAGCAAATATTATTTTCGTATTAATTGTTGCTAACAGCTAGAATTTTTTTGCATTCAGCCGGTGCCGTTCAAAGCCTACTTATTTAAAGCGGGCGAATTTTTTAAATACTCTATATCTCGAAGAGGAATCGAGCAAAATATCAAGTGTGTTATATTTTTGGAAAGGTAATTTTAAATTCTTTTCAATAAAGTAAAAATATACAGGATCTCCCATATAAAAAATCAAATTTTCTGTTGATAATTCTTAAATTATTAATTTTAAAAAAATTATACTTAAACCATTAAATTCTAAAGTAAAAAGGTGCTTTGAAAATGTTTTCATAAAAATACAAAATTTTCCATAGCAAAAAAGTTACAGCGATTTGTTAAAAATGCATATTTTTGAAAAACACCCCGTAACTCCGAAACGGTAACAGATATCGATATGCGGTTTTCACCATTTTGTTTTTGTCAAAAAATGAGCTCCAGACACCGATGATAGTTTTTGTCTATCTCCTACAAAAAAGGGTGTTTCCATTTAAAAGCGTCGAATTTGACCCACCCTGTACAGGGTGTCTCAGATTTTAATCGGGAAAATTTAATAGACGATAGAACTTGCAAAAATAAAACAAAAAGTTCATATCAGCTTGTAAGTTTTAAAGCTTCCTTTTCGAGATACAGGGTGTTAAAGTTACTTAAAAAAGAAAAAAAAAATAAGATATTTGAAAAACTATAATCGATTTTGATATAACTTGACCCGTTTATAATACTTACTATGGGACTTAATTTGATGTAATTAGATTTAAGTTTAATGACCAGAGGCGGCCGCGGCGGTGGGGCATCACTGTTAAATTATTTTAAGTGAAAAAATAGGCACGCCACTGCTTTTTTAGACGTGTAATATTATTTTTGGATTTAATAATTAAAAATATTATTTTTTAGTCTCCTGACTTTTTCGTCTATCTTGCTTACTTCTTGCGAAAAAAATTAAATTCATTTATTCACTCCACCCTGGACAATAATAAACTAAATAATAATGGTTAGTTACAACAATTACAATAATTGTTCGAATTGATAACAACTAACATCAACGCATTTTCTACAACGACGAACTACGGAATGAACTGCGCTTGAAATCTGGACCGGATTTTTTTTGACATCATTGATTGCGTTTTGGATTCTAAAAATCAGCTCTTCCTTAGTGTTAACTGCTGTTTCATACACCTTTGCTTTTATTATCCCCCACAAATAAAAATCCAGAGGGGTAAGGTCTGGGGACCTAGATGGCCAAGCGGCTGGCCCTAAACGACCACAATCTAACACGTCTAACAATTCGAACAATTATTGTAATTGTTGTAACTAACCATTATTATTTAATTTATTGTCTAGGGTGGAGTGAATAAATGAATTTAATTTTTTTCGCAGGAAGTGAGCAAGATAGACAAAAAAGTCAGGAGACAAAAAAATAATATTTTTAATTACTAAATCCAAAAATAATATTAAACTTCTAAAAAAGCAGTGGCATGCCTATTTTTTCCTTTAAAATAATTTAACAGTGATACCCCACCGCCGCCCCTGGCCATTAAACTTAAATCTAATTACATCAAATTAAGTCCCATAGTAGGTATTATAAACGGGTCATGTTATACCAAAATCGATTAAATAGTTTTTCAAATATCTTAAATTTGTTTTCTTTTTTAAGTAACTTTAACACTCTGTATCTCGAAAAGGAAGCTTTAAAACTTACAAGTTGATATGAACTTTTTGCTTTATTTTTGCAAGTTCTATCGTCTATTAAATTTTCCCGATTAAAATCTGAGACACCCTGTATATACAGGGTGTTTCAAAACAAATGCGAACAACTTCAGGAGGTGATTCCTTGTTCAAAATAAAGGGTAGTTTGCTTCATAAACGTTGGGTCAAAAGTCAACCATTAGGGAGATATCGCGGTACAAAGATGGCGGAAAAATATTGTTTTTATTTTTTATCTTGAAAACGAAAAGAAATAGACTAATAACATTTCATAGAAGCATTACTGTTATGAAAACACACTTTCTGGTAATATTTTCACTTTTTTAAAATGAGTGGAAGGGGTTGAAATAACTTACCCCTATCATTCTTGTTAACGAAATTTAAAGAAAAATCTTATCAAACATATGCAAAAAAATAATTTGGATAGTTTAGTTTGTTTAGAAACTTTTTTATCTCTTGTATTTTTTTGATAAAACTCACCGATTTGAAATTAAAAAATAAAATGTAAAGCATTACATGTCAGGACAAAAAACATTTTCTGATAAAGAATCTAGTTGGCTGCTGTAATTTTTTTAGGAAAAAATCTAGTCGGCCGCTGTTACTTTTTAGGATGTTCCTAATATTATTTTATTTGACATTACTGTACTGCAACACGTTATTATCTAGATGATTATTATTATCGTTATTATCACTAGATTCTTAATCTAAAAATGTTTTTTGTCCTGACATGTAATGCTTTACATTTTATTTTTTAATTTCAAATCGGTGAGTTTTATCAAAAAAACACAAGAGATAAAAAAGTTTCTAAACAAACTAAACTATCCAAATTAAAACATTTGCATGTGTTTGATAAGATTTTTCTTTAAATTTCGTTAACAAGAATGATAGGGGTAGTTTATTTCAACCCCTTCCACTCATTTTAAAAAAGTAAAAATATTACCTGAAAGTGTGTTTTCATAACAGTAATCTTCCAAGTAAGAGCTTCCATAAAATTTCATAAAGTCTATCTCTTTTCGTTTTCAAGATAAAAAATAAAAACCTTATTTTTCCGCCATCTTTGTACCGCGATATCTCCCTAATGGTTGACTTTTGATCCAACGTTTATAAAGCAAACTACACTTTATTTTGAACAAGGAATCACCCCCTAAAGTTTTTCGCATTTGTTTTGAAACACCCTGTATAAAATATATATTTTTCAGACTTTCTTAAAAAATATATTAAAAATACAAGAACTGCCCTGAAATCAAAACTATATTAGATATTTACTTTAGATGGTCTGTATTTACTTTGCTATAAATATAGTAATCGTATATCATACAGGATGTTCAAAATTTTACGCCAAATTTTCTAAAATATAAAATATTTTTTCTTCGTGTTTTTTAAATGCAACACCCTGTATATTATTTTTTCAGTACATGGAGAATTAAAAAATGAATATTTTTTGTATTTAAAGTATTTCAAAATTTATAACTGTTTCGCAGATATTCGCGGTTTTATATTTCATATGGCATTTTCTACAGTGAATTTTTATCAAAGCCACCCAATAATTTTTCTCAAGCCATATAAAATAATACTGCGTGTATCTGCAAAACCATTAAACATTTTGAAATACTTTAAATACAAAAAATGTTCACTTTTTAATTCTCCATCTACTGAAAAAATAATATACAGGTTGTTCCATTTAAAAAAACGAAGAAAAATTATTTTATATTTTAGAAAGTTTGGCATAGAATTTTGAACATCCTGTATAATTTACCATTACAATATTTATAGCAAAGTAAGTGCATACCATCTAAAGTAAATACCTAATATAGTTTTGATTTCAGGACAATTCTTGAATTTTTTAATAATTTTTTTATGAAAGGCTGAAAAATATATATTTTTTATTTATTTATTAATATCTCTGAAACTATCGAAAAACATTTAGTCATATCATAGGATTATT